TAAGGAAATCATGCAAACAAAAAGGCCAAGCATAATTCACAAGATGGAGAAAGACTAAGAACCACAAATACATTTTCTTACAACATAAAGCAGTACTACTCAATGAGACATACCTGAACAGCAGGTCGAGGACCATATAGAGAGAAAGGACCTTTTGTCTCCAGAACTGTGAAGTAAACATCATCATTTGACAGCAGTAAATGGGCACAATAGCTCTCAAGGGGCTCCGTACTACCAAAAATCATCTGCTAGCATAAACCAAGGTCATTAGAAGAACAAGAAGATGAAACCATGACAATTTTAATAGGTATACCTCAGCTAGTTGCTCAATAGTTACTGACTTGCCCTTTTCAAGCAGCTCAATCCATGCAAACTCAAGTAGTGCTGGATCCTGCAATGAATAATGAATTTCCAAACTCAACTACAACAAGCTAAAAACTGCAAACATGTTCTTTTAACTGTAAGAAGAACCAACCAAGTTACTCTGAGCTCTCTGAATGAAGTCTGATATCTGTGTATGGTCAAAGTCCTCAATACCCGGAGCAATAAATGTTATTTGTTGTGGTTTTATGGAGGTTGTGACACCATTCTGAATCATTAAGAACCAAAAGAACAATCAGACCACCTGAAAACCTGAAAAACCTACAAACAAGGAATAAAAGAATGAGTTCTAACACCTAGCAACATATCTGACATGCAGCGTATTGTTTCAATAAAACCTGATCAAAGACCATCCAGTTCTTCTTGCCGTCGGGTTTCTGAGCAACAGCCAGCAATACCCTTCCGGTGTCTTTCTTGAACTCCAGCAGCAACCCTTTCTGCAGTGTTCGTTTTTCCAATTTATCTTGGAGAAGCTCCCCACTAGTTGCTAACCTGCAGAATTTTTCTGTCAAACACCGCAACCATAAAGAAACAGACCAACCTTAGTCTTAATATGAGGCACTGTTGACTATTTTAATGGACCTAGACGTTCTAGATACTGGCATGATAACAATTCAGAACACATATATCACAAGGGGCCAAAAAGTGGTAAGTCATGGGTGACCTATGTCAGCAGGAAAGCCCACCTATCTTAAACGAGTTTCCACTCATCAGGCCAGCTCCAAGTCAAAAAAAAGTAGAGGTATACATACTACCAGAGAATATATATATATACGGTAGTTTCATTGAAATCAGTCTTCCTGGTCCCAGAAGATACAATGCAAATAACCAACAGATGAATAAAATCGATACCTGCTGTTAGCACTTTAAGAAATCAAGGCGAAAAAGCAAAACAGGTCGGCCCAGAATCATATATTGATCGTCTTCCATTTCATTTTCCCAACAAATCAATCAAAGTTAAACTTATGTCAAGTCCAATTTACAATTCTCCAAAGCTCAGGCACCATAAGTCATCCCATATTAATTCAGGCGTTAAACCATATTATTGCCTATATAAACGCACATAGGGGCACTCTAAGCTTTCCAGCGAACTTACTCAACATTTATATGCACTGGCACATAATAAGGACTTCGTAAAAACATAAATTGCAATTGAGAACCACATTGACGTAACAGCGGGGAAAATATGAAATTATGACAATCCGTGGGAGTGTAGATACTTGTTAGAAACGCGGAGTTGGCGGCGTTTGCGCAAGACCCCCAGCTCCTCCATGACAGTGTCGACAAGACTTTGAACTGAGTAACTTCGAATGCTTCCACCATAGCTACAAAAACACCACCGTGACCCAATAATTGAGAGATGAAGCCCTAATTTGGAGTGGTTGGGATGCCGCACGGTCCTGACTTGGCGGACACAGCTCCGAAAAACGGCGAACGGCGGCGACGCGGCAGAGCGAAACGTCACGCGGGTGTTCAATACTCGAACCGCCATTGGTTATCGTAGTTAACTAATTTCTGTAAACGACAGCACAAAATTTCTGCATCAAGAGTTGATGTAGAAATATTTATGGGAAGGAAGAGGAAGAGGGACGGGCTTCTTTCAATTGAGAGCAGGAAGGAAAGGAAGGATTGGATGCCCGCTGTCGCCTGTTGATAATATTGTGCTTTTAGATTGCCGACTTCTACTACGCTAGAGGGTGGTTGAATTAAACACCCAAAAAAAAAAAAAACCTTCCAAAATTTTTTTAGCAATCGCTCTAAAAGTAAATCTTATACTGACAGTGTATACACTATCACGGTTAGATGCATGATACACATGTACAATTTGATTTTCAAATTTAAATTATATTTCATATATCTAGTAGTGAAAGTTTATACACCATCCCTATATAAAAGATTAATTCTAGTTCAAATTATGATAAAATATGCCCATCATTTATGAACTGCCTTTCTATGGAAGTTGGATCCTGAAATAAGACTAGGAATGTATATTATAAAATGAATTATACATAAATAGAAATAAATGTCATAGCATGTTTAATTTGATTTGAAAATGAAATACTTATAAACATTATACATTTGATTTGATAATCTTGTACGTAGGTGCGAACATTCTTCACACCAATCAACCTTTGGTACAAAAGTCATTATTAGTGAATTAATTAACTTTGTTGAATTTTGCGAAGTTTGTATTATAAATTCAAAGGCACGATCTTTGCATGAATTGATCCGTTGGTTGAACGGCCTACTTCCATTTTCCCGAAAATTAAGAGCAGAGTTCAAAATTAGTGTATTTTTTTTACATATTTTATAAATAATATTACATAAAAATAAATGTGCATAAAGAAATTCAACCTTTCTTTATAATTCTATAAGATAAGAAGTATCATAACGAAATACAAATTGTGCATTGTGCATGTCTATCTTATACTTTAAGATACAGGTTACTACTAAAATATCTTATTTGCATGTTAACACTATACTTGTTTGAGAAGAAAATGTGATCTATAATATATATGAAAATTAAAGGTATATGAAATTAATTACACGTTTTATAAGTTTTGAGACCATCTTGCTAAAAACCAAACTTATCCAAGTTTAACAAACAAAAAAGGGTCAAATTTTTAAATACATATTACAATCCTTTGTGAATTATAGTCTAATATCAACATTTTATTAGTTTGAGATCATCTTGCCCAAAATCAAACTTGCTAACTAAACAAAATATGATAAGAGTGAAAAATAAGTGTTTTTTTTCCTCTTTTATATGGACCAATCAGCAAAGTTTAACAGACATAAAAGGGCTAATAGGAAAGATTTTTAGTTTCTTATGTACCAACATACCATGTAAGCTAGTTGCTAAACTCAAGTTAAAATTATCAACATAAACTACTTTTATGTTAATAAAAGTATAGAATATGTATCCCAGAGAGGAAAAGAAGTATATTTCGGCATACCATGAGAACTAAATAAATGTACGCATAAAATATGTTTTCAACAAAAAAAGTACATTATGATATACCATTAGAAATAAATAAATGCACACATATCATGAGTAATAAATAAGTTGAATTAAAAGATTGCAAAAATTGAATGCAAAACAATTGAATACAAATGGCAATAATATTTGGCAAAAAAAAGAATATCAGGAATTGTAATTTGATGGTTTTGACACTTTAAACAGTATAATTGGGATTTTATCCATCTCATTTTATGTGAGACTTGTCTTTTTTGGAAGTGAATTTCTTAAACCTTTTGGAGTACTTTTGTTATATCACTACGGTCTAGGTTTCATTTTATAATTAGTTGTTCTCTTCTTTGCAATCTTGCAAGCTTTTAAAATTGAGTCATCCTTGAAATTCTTATAGGTGGAATTCTTCTATGTTCAGACTATGAAATTCTTAAAAGTTTTTTCTCGCTCTATTTGGTTTGGGTGGAAAACAAATGCAGATAAATTTGGCTAGGAATTGTTAGTTTTTGAGAATGATTTTGTGTTATTAGTTAGTAATTATAGATCGTGAGAATTGTAATTCAAATGAACTCCTAAAAATTTTGCTAATGTGATTTACATAGTGGTCAGTTGCTTAAATGAGTCATTTGGATTTTGGTCATTTAAGTTAGTGGATCTGCAGATGTAATTTGCATATTCATATAAGGGGTACGAGCTAATTGGATTTTGGTTGTTGAAGTTAGTGGAGTCGCGTAAATTTAAGTTGCAGAGATGCAATAAGGGTTACCCAATAGATTGAATTAAAATAAATGTAAAATTGTAAGAATAAGGGATTGGAATTTTGGAGGTTTGTGAAGGCTTCTAATAAAAACCCTCTAATACATAGAATACATATAGACATATATATAGTTATTTACTGACTACTATGTTTCTTTTAGTTGTATTTTTAATTATTTTCTTTAGCTCTAGTAATATTTTTTTTATACATTGATTGTGTGCACTCCATGCTTGGTTGCATATGTTATAAAATTTAGATTTTAAATTCAAATTAAAATTAATTATTATGCATATAAACTTGTTAATGTATACATTATCAATATAAATAAGATTAACCATTTTGTTTCACTTGTATGAAACTTCAATTATAAATTATGGTCAGACCTTCAATGAGAAAAGAAAAATATAATGACAAAGTTAACCAAAAGCGGGGCCATCTCTTAACCCATCCAACAATCTATGCATTTTCTTTAACCTGTACCTTGGCATTTTTTAGGAGCATTTTTTATCCCAACAATTAGTATTGATAAATCTTTAACCTATACTTGGCATTTTTCTTTCAAGCGATTAGGATTGCTTCATCAAGGATTTTTTTTAATGTCAATTTGCTCAAGTAAAGTTAAATCAATTGTTGTAAATTCTATCTCTGTCAACCGGTATGGGTTACCCGCACTTGAAAATAAGTTTGCACTCCTTATAATGATATGAAAAGGATCCATTAGTTCTTCTACAGAGGTAACAGAATGCAATTCAAACTACAAGCTTCGGAAGACTAACTTAGATATGTGCAAGATTGCCAGTATCTGACTATCGTTGCAAGAAAGACCTTAATGCACTTAGATGGATTGGCATTCATGCAAGGAGAAAAAAAACACAGTAGAAAATCTTGTCGTTATAGGAGGGGAAAAAACATACCTGTATTAGATAAAACCTGTATTCATTCTATCTTCACATGGAGCTCTAATTCACAGAAAAATGGCATATACAAACAAATTTGGAAACTATGACCTGTATTAGATAAAACCTGTATCCATTCAACCTTCACATGGAGCCCTAATTCACAGAAAAATGGCATATACAAACCGATTTGGAAACTATGACCAGCGTAAAGGTATACAGCAAAGCTCCACCTTCTAAACTTCATCCATAGAACTTCAATCTATCACCTGCAGAGCTGGCTACAGAGGCCCTGGATCTGAGATGGACTGGGACTTTGCAAGGAATATGTCTTCGTTTTACCATTGTTTGAGCATGTCAAGGTCAGCTGGCCCCCCACTTGATCAGACTGCAGGAATTACATTGAAGCACATTTAGCAGTGCCCTAGAAGTCCAACAGAAGGTTAAACTTCGTCTTGATTTAATGATGGTAACGAGACCAAGAAAACTTGGACCATATGCTTTATCAACATGCATATAACTTTTATAAATTTTTTCCCGTAGTAGCGATGCAGTATGTTGTGATGTTGTGAGGTGAGACTAAAGAAATATCTGTGCACTATCAGCAGGAGACTTGAACACTGTGAGGCAACTGAGTTTGGATGAAACAGCTCATTCATATAGCTCCAGCTGCTTGTAAAAAACATATGTTGCCTACTTTTTGTGAGGACAAGTTAAGGGTATTTTGAACTCCTTATGGATTGAATGGACATTCTAGAATGGTTACTCTTGGTTCTGAAGGTAGACGTTTTTCAACTGTTCCTAATCTGTTAATTGTGATTATATATCTTCTTTTGGTTTTTTAAATTTGGCCAAACAGCCTAAGATACACACAGTTTTCCATTTTTCATCCCGCCCAAACACTTACACAATGAAAAGATAAAACTTCCACATAAAATATGGAACTTTGCCCAAATTTTAATGTACCACAGTTGGAGGAAAACTTTAACCATTACTCACCATACATGACACAGGCTGTGTGTTGCAACTCCACCTTGAAGTAGGAACACAGCTCATATAGTGACACCAGGAACAATGGTCATTTAAATCTACCCCTCGAAGCAGCAGAACCAGGCCGAGGGTGAACCTACGAAGTCCAATTTAATTCTCAGTTAAACAAGGACCCTATTGCTTTTGCATTTAAGTGACTTAAAAATAGGAAATGCAAATGCAGAAATTCAGCTAGATTCTCAAGAATTAGAAAACAAGAGAGAATAGAAGAGTAAAGGCCAGAACATGTTAAAGAAGCATCAGTATGCATGCCCAGGTAGAGTATGGAGAAGCTCACCCAACAATCAGAAGAATCAGAGAAAGGACCCAAAGGATGCATTGGTATGCCTTAAATTTATGTTTGGGGGATGATGAAGAATACGTTTGAAGAGCATATCTCTGGCTGACCCATGAAAACTGGGGACGTATCAGAAACACAAACCCCAGAAGAAAACCAGATAAAAATCCTCCAATATGAGCAAAGTTGTCCACATGAGGGAGAAGTCCAACAGCTAGATTAATAGCAACTATGACCACAAGGGTCACTAAAGATACTACCTGAAGAAAAGTTAGGGTTCATAAATATACAAACCACAATCTTGTCTCTTCAGACAGGTCTTAAAAACATTAGTTTGGTGAGTACCTTATTGGCATATATACTCCAATTGGTAATCAATTCAGAAAGCATGCCACCAAGTAATCCAAACAGAGCACCAGAAGCACCAACAGATATATTTGACTGTAAGAAAAGTGCCGAAAACAAACTCCCCCCGAGACCAGAGATGACGTACAGCAATCCAATACGCACTACAAAATACCAATATGAAAGACAGTTACACGGGTAAGCTATATGAGTTTGATTAGACCATAACTAATGTGTGCTCAAACAAGTATTTTACTAACAATGAAGGATCCTCACCCAAGCTTTCCAAGAAAGCAAGCAAAAAGTAGAAGTCAACCCATATGTTAAGAGAAGTCCACTCGATTGTCCATTCAAAAAAATAGGTAAGTTGTACACATTGGAAGGTAATATTGGACTTCAAGCAAGTTAAATGAGAGCCAGGGTTTAATGTTCGCATGCATATTCAGGAAAGCAATAAATACATACATGCCAAACTTACTGTTTTTCAATTAATATGTAACATAAAGGACTTGGTAACTAATAATCAAGTTCCAAGAAAAAATGCCCTTTCACTATTCTTCCCGACGCAACCATACCAAAAAATTTTTATACAAGATAATCATAGCAATAAGTTTACAAATATATGATCATTTAGCCAATTTAACTTCAATTATCCCTTAAATGCTGTGATTTTGGCACCTGGATCTTGATCAAGTGGTAAGGTCATATTTAACAAACCATGTATGTATAACTGCTAAACCTAAATGAGAAATAACAACAATTGCATGGCATTTCAACTGCATAAGTAAGCACCAGCGTCGTCATTTTGTACCAGTCCTGTTGAGTGCAATAACTGATAAGGGTAATAGACAACATATCATCGTCTAACAGTATCAGCACTTTACCAAAGCCAAATTCTTGCTCAACTCGAATGCCGATCACTAAAAGACTCAACATGTTGGCAAGCAAATGAAACACTCCGCCGTGCAGCCACATACAAGTAATAAGCCGCCAACCCTGATGTTCATGGACCACTTTACTCACATCTAAAGCACCCAACTTCTGTAACCTAGAAGAACAAGGAAATGGAAGATACACTTTCTTAGTTGCTTTTCCAAAGGTAAGTAATGGCTTCAATTACTAAGCGAAAAGGAAAAGCACACGTCAAACAAAAAGCTGCACAGCATATATGTATGTATCCAACCACCACTACATGCTACATGGAATTGGAAATACTCTCATTATACAAAGAAGCCCAGTTTTGATTTTTTACAAAAACATAATCCAAAGCACGAACAAAGCATTAACCTCATATGTGGCACTAGTCAAACAACACAAATGCATGCAACAAATAAAATCTCGAAGTGCAGCCATCTCAAAGAATCAAGGACAAGGACCAAGGCAAAGTCTGGAAAATTTGCATTCTGGATTATAAACCACAGGTGGAATTCTATTAAGTACATTCTGCTGCCACTACAATGATTGTAAAACAGTTTCACCTGATGCATGTACTTACCGCTTATCTGATTCTCAGGATTCTCCATGCATTAATTTCCAGAACATCCATCTTAATTAGCTGGCTTCTCATATATTTTTGGATTGCAGTTCTTTTATAAGTTGATTTCTTTTCACTTGTCTCATTTATTCTGCAACTGATAAAATTAGTTACTACTGCTTCATATTGCAAAGTCAGTTTCAAGTTCCAATTCTTCTTTCACCCTTTACACAAAACTTCTATGGTCCCAACGCCTCAGTAGCTCAGATCTCTAGCGTACATTGTAGGTTTTTATACCCGTATACCACTACATAGACTGTAGACACCTTTACTACTGTAATTTCTTAAACCTTAAACTGATACATGAACCACTCTTCCTCGCTTTTGGATCTTTCTTATCCTCCCATCAACGAGGTTGGTTTGCTTTAAGTAAATTAGGCCACATGATCATTTCAGAACTCACCAATTGGCTTATATGCCTACAGCTTCTGAGGCCTTACAGATGACAAATTCCGTATAAAACCATCCAAACAGAAAAGGGGCACGTTCCAACGCCTAAAAACGAAACTTGAACCGCCCATAAATACTAGTAATAAATTGCGGGCTTTGCATCAAGAGCAAGGGTTGGGATGACCAAAAGGGGAACGAATAAATAAATTAATTGACTGCACAAGAGAAGTCTTACGTGGTGGAAGAAGGCCCAAGCAGAGGATTTTCCTTGAAGGGCTGAAAGGAAAACCTCCCTAGAAAACCAGCAACGCAAGAAACAGAATTTTTGGGGCAGTTGTTAACATACATGGTGATCACAAACATGACAACATTGGCGACGACGAAACCAGGTATCAACCAGGAGAACCACTTCTTGAAATGCTTAATTTCTCTGTATCCAGGGGGTGGTGGGGCAGGCAAGGAGGTGGGGGTGGAGGAGGAGAGGGGTGGCGTTTGCCCATCGAGTGGGTGGACGGTGTTGCTCACCCGCCGCGAGTTTACGCTGATTCGGACATCTGATTGCTGTGGCGGACCCCCTTCTTCTCCTGCTCCTGCCATCTCCAGGAAAAGAACGGTAAAATGTAGTAGAAATCTACTAGTGTTAGTTTAGGGACAAAGAAGATGTAGGTCGAGTCGAGGGGTGGGTCGAAAAAGAGCGAAGATTCTTAAGAAGACGCGGAGGCGGTTTAGGTGTAGATGTTAAGGGTGGTTAAACACATTATTAAGATCAGTTTAGTCAACGTTTAACCACTTGACTGACTGAGGTATGGTAAGTAACCCAACAAACACCAACACCATGTCACCGTCACCAACACCAACGCCGTGAGAGTAATTTTCTGGGACACATGTTTGAGGAGGATGTCGGGCAAACGTCAACCACTTGACTAATTGAGGTATCAGGTATGTATGGTAAGTAACCCAACAAACGCCGCGAGAGGAATTTTCTGGGACAGATTTGAGGAAGTCAGGCAAACTTCTGTTCTTTTCTTCAGACGGCCGCCATCTGCGTTAGGAACTTAGGATTTGGACGGTAGCGGTTCGTGGGGGGTTTCATAATGACCACTTTTTCACGTCAGAACGGAATCCGAACACAGCCACAGGTGATTAAGAGCCCATTCGGACCATCTCACTTCAAATCAGGAGTTGTCAAATTAGGAGTTTTTGGATTGTCAAATCCGTCACCTACACTCTAAAGAATTTATTAATTTTTCTCTCTCTATATATGCACCTTATACACTATAAACTACTAGTAATTTTCTATGCCAACAAATTGAGAAAATTCTTTACGAAAGCGTGTTGACATAAAAAGTCTTCAATTTCTTTTTTCTAACAATATGTAGTTAGCCCTTCTTTCTAATGCTACAAACAGGACCCGATAATGGGCTTGTGATAATTATTAATTAAGAGAGAGAGTTTCCTTTGCTTGTGTTTGTGAACTTGCTTGCTTGGACAATAAAATTTTCTCTCATTGCTTCGTTTTTCTTTTGCGTCCGCCGCCATTTCATGGCAAATTCTTCTTGATATGCCGCCTACAAGAAAATTTTCCTCACAGACAAAATACATTATTGTAAGTATCCAGTTAGAGGACGCAGGAGCCAGCTATGCAAAAAAAAAAAAAAAATTTAAATCACCGTTAAAGAAATTGCTAGTGTTTTATGTACTATCTGATTTGAGTGCGATTAATAAGAAAAATGTGAATTTTTACTATATTCTCTAATTTTCTTGGTTTCCTCTTTTTTAACCATACTCAGTTTCTTTCAATTTCTTTAACAGGAACTTGATAATTATGTCGAAAAGGAAATGCTTGAGAGCGAAAGCTCAAACATTTACAGGGAGGATGGTCAGAACTAATCGGGAGTTCCCTCCAACAACGGATCCTGCTCAGATTTGGGGTTGGGAATGTATTGTCCGCTATCCGTTGCGGCATCTGATCACTTCTAAAGGAAAATAATCCACCACCACTTTTGCAAATTTTTTTTTTTGCAAAGTCAGCAGACTTTTGGATAACTTGCTACTGATCTTAACCCCCGTGAGAACCCTCAAAAGCCGGCAACTTTTGAAGATCTCATAGAAGACTAATATACTAACCACCCAAACCAATGTTTTAAAACTCGGACCGTTAATTGAACCGGTGAAGTGTTCGGGTCAAGGTTCAACCGGTCGAACCGGTTTGACCCCGATTCAATGAATTTTTTAAAAAATAATTTATATAAATATATATATATGCACAAAATAAGACATGTATTGGGCTAATTTAAAACTTTATATGATGAAAAGTTTACTATTTTTGAATAACTTGGATTTTCAGAAATAAATTTTTTAAATTATAAGTTGAAACAAATAAATTTCATCTCAATTTCAATTATATCTACCAAAAAATAATCTTAAATCCAACCCAAAACTACCACAATATTTTGAAATTATACAAAATTCACGTCTATGAGAATTTAGATATTGTGAGTTCAAATTTTAATTTACGTTTTTGAGATTTAGAGATTGCAATTTTTTTTAAAAAAAAAGAAATTTGGAGTTTGAAGAAAGTTAAGAGAATCGAAAATAGAAATGCAAACTTGATAAGAAACAAAAAAATGAGATAAAAGTGAATGATTGTGACATTTAATAATTAGTCTTTAGGGTTAAAGAAAATAATTCTTTTTTAATTTTTTCAATTTAATGGACAAAAAAAATTAAAAGATGGAAGAAAATATCAATAAATTAAAACTAAAGAGTTTTGATTAAAAAGGGAGTGACAAAAGAAAAGAGGAAAGAAAGAGAAAGTTGAACATTAAAAAGAAATAAATCTGATGTGTTTTAGGAGTTATGGGCTTAGGCTGGGGTATTTTTAATTTTTCACTTCAACTTAAGTAGATATTTACACAAAATAATTTCGTCCGCTAGCTGTGGTTAAATGGTAATAAGTCTTTGTTGTATTCGCAAGGTTTGGTGTTCGATTCTTGTTGGCCTCAATCTGGACATTATTTTCGAAAAGTTTCAAAAATCGCCGGTTCCCGGTCTAAGCGGTTTTTCACGGTTCATCCGAGTCATCCGGTTTCTAGCGATTTTTCATTACTCTCCGGCTTTAGCTATAGACCGTTTCGAAAAGTTTCAATCTGGACATTATTTTCGAAAAGTTTCAAAAATCGCCGGTTCCCGGTCTAAGCGGTTTTTCATGGTTCATCCGGGTCATCCGGTTTCTAGCGATTTTTCATTATTCTCCGGCTTTAGCTATAGACCGGACCGGTGGCCTGTCCGGTTCGCGGTCCAACCGGTTGAACCGGCCGGTCCGGTCCGGTTCTGAAAACATTGACCCAAACCCCCCAACCCCGACGTGGGATATCAAACTCCACAAGGGAGCCTGCTAGACCTAAAGAGACCCCATACTCCCCCGGGACGAGGCTGATGTCTTTTTTGCAAAGTCAGTAGACTTTTGGACAACTTTCTACTAACCTTAACCACTTTTCGCAAATTGAATTGAACTTTTATCAACTTGCAAGAGAGAGAGAGAGAGAGAGAGAATCTATTTATATCTATACACGTTTACCTGTTGAGATATTTTAGAAGTTTTCTAAGGAGTACCATGACAGTCTGTTCTGCGCATTACTTCTTAAGGTTTTTAGATATTTTATTCTCTAATATTAATTTTCATTAGTGTTGATTTATTACTTTCATTCAAATGCTTATATCACTATATTTTTTTAGGCAAAATTAAATAACTTATCAAAAAACCACATCTAAGTAAAATCCGTCACACTTTAGTGTCTCTGTCCATTGTGTATGATAAATAATTGTTATTTGCAAAATAAATTTTGTTTGTACAAATGTTATTATACATTTGTATAAGCAGTTTAATATATTGATTAGTAAAAATAAATAATAACTCTGTGAAGATACAAATCGTACATTTTTATATCAATTATGTTGTTCCTGTGCATAGAAATTTTATATTTCTATAGTAACTTTATAAGAATTTAATATTGGTCCGGAGTAACTATTTAGCATGCATAGCAATTGGTTCAAGACCAATTAAAAAGATTCCATACGCATATATAAAAGACTCAATTTGATAATTCACATATTAAATGTGATCACTTGACATGTTAAATAGAATCAAGTGAGACTCTCTTACATTTCCTTGGAAATCTTCCATTGATTATGAAGCAACTACTTTGCAGGAGCGACTACTAGGCCTTCTAAGTAGAAAGTTGTTCTAGACCATCATAGAAAATTTCCATTGACACAAAGCTAGTAGTAAAGTCGAAAAAAAGAAGGGAAAAAAGTTTTTTTTTGTCAATTTTTATTTCTCTTTTTCACTTTAAGTTCCAATACGCATAAGTGTTTTTATTTAATTTTTTTTTTTTTGTGAAAAAATGGTCTGACATAAGAACTTGCCCAAGTCATGGGTCCAATTAGTTTCTCTATAATGGGTCTCGAGGTTGGAAGATATTCATCATCTAATTTGTAATTGTTGTGTTCGTAATTTTATGCTGTGACGTGACGTATGTAAAATAAAAAAAAATATATATATTTTGTAATATTTAACATTCTCCTTTCAGAACCAAATAGCTTTGTTAGACCTTTTTGTACGATGTCCATCTAAGCGGGAAGAAGCTATCAGTTGCAGCTCCATGATTCCTTCACAAGATAACCTTTGATTAATCTCATCGTCCAAATTGTCACCCGTCATTATAGGTCATAACACAAAGTCTTGATGTAGGCACCATATCTTCAGAGTTCTGATAGGATCCGGTGCATTAGTGCTGGTATGATCGCACCCTTTTATATTGTGGCAAATTTGAGGGAGGCAGCCCTGACCTCCAGCACCACCAAAGAGGGTGATGACCACTGGACCAAATGGCCAGGGGCGGTATAGAACGGTTTCATGCTCTTGAGGATGTTGGATCAAAGAAGCAAGAGTCGTACCTACTCAATACCTATGAAGAACTTGGACAGCCTCGTACCCAAGTTGCTTTAGGTTTATCTGTAGGGCCAAAATCCATGTATCCAGACATAAACTGAAACGCTTAAAACGTTGTAGCCACAAGTTTGGGCCTCGACCGGCCCCAACATAGCGATGCAGCATGCAGCGGGCCAGCCTTCTTATTATTGAGCTAGGCCTTTTTTTTGTTTTTGTTTTTGTTTTTTATGATTTACTATTAGTTATATGGAATTAATCTTTTCTACAATATTAGTGTTGGATAAATAATAACTATGTAAATTTTAAATTTAACCTTTGCATATATATTATGAATCTAATAATGATAGTATATATATTGTCTATATATATAAGATTTACTCTTTTTTTTTCTGAATAAAGTCAGAAAACTTTGGAAAATACAAAGAAATATTATATTTTATGCTTCAAAAAGAGAAAATTATTCAAGACATCACTCACATTTCACTAAATGAAATTTTTCATCATTTACTATAAAAATGATAACTTTATGTCTCTTGAAAATATAATTAAGTAAAATTTGATTTCAATCTAAATTTTCGATCATTTTTTACCCTGGATTCATCACGTAGCTTATATGTGATTATTTTTCTGAGAACCAAAAAGGTTAGATTTTATTCATAATTAAACAAATGACTAGACAGATTTTCATTTTTGCTATAGGATTTAACCCAAATTGTATTGATTTTTCTCTAAAAAGTGTGATCTAATATAATTTATATCTAATTTTACAACTAAAAAAGTGGGATCCGTTCTTTTTGGACATATAAAATTATTACAGACGAGTCACATAGTGATTTCAGAATGAAAAATTAAGTACGACTAAATTTTGTTAATTTAAATTTATAAATCACGTAATGTTAATATTTTGAAAGTAAAATACGATGAAATTTATTAGGAAAAAAAAAAAAGTGGTTGTCAAAAACTGGTCAGAAACTTTTGAATGATTTACCCTTGGGGAAAATGTCGCAGCGTCGGACTAAGGGTTCGAGAAGTCGAAGATTCAAGGGAATCTCATAATGCAAAAGGGGTGTCATATTTTGTCAACGACTGGCGTAGAACAACTGTACTTTTCGTAAACGCGTACAATTCATTCAACGCCCTGATCCGCGACCGAGAGTTGAAAGAAATATCCACTCATTTGACCCGTAAATCGTAATAA